ATCACAAGCTAATGCAGTAGATACACGTAGGAGACTATTTTCAAGTTCGGCCTGCATGAAAAACCGATAATAATAAGAAATAATAAGTTAAATAAAGGTTTTTCAGTCAACCACACCTTTAAAGGCTGATGCAATGGCAATACGTTGGATTGTTTGTTTTACAGTTGGAGAGTATGAGCACCTTTGGAAAAGCAGAAATGGTCTGAAGAATTTAGGTTTCGTTGCCACACTGTTAAAACAAAAGCAACATTTTAAGACTTCTAAGGATATCTGCAAACAATTTTGAGTCGACTATTGCACAGAGAGCAAGTAGAAGGTCAGAATACGCAATGTTCAGGAAAATTGCAAAAAAATCGAAATAGTTCGCTTGCTAATTGAATAATCCAGATTCTTCAAATAGCACGTTAAATCTCAACTAATCACCAATGTTCATTTATGTCAGTCAGTGTGTTTACATGAGAATTAGAAAATCGAACTGTTGTCCACTGGGGTGTCAAACTCCAGTCCTCGAGGGCCGGTATCCTGCATCATTTTGTTTTTTTCCCTGTTCCAACACAGTTGATTCAGCTGTCCAGCAGCTCATCAAGCTCTCCAGAAGCCTGTTAATCACCTGCTGGTTGAAATCAGGTGTGTTGACATGGAAAACGTTAAAACATGTGGGATAGCGGCCCTCGAGAACCGGAGTTCGACACTTGTGCCCTAAATAAACTAACGTTAGTTATTTTACATGCGTGTAAACGCGTTATTCCTGCTGAAGATGAACTGGTTCTAATCCAGCTGAAGCACCTAGATAATGTGGTAGGAACCCGACTTCCTCTGCATGTAAACGGATCAGTCGAGCTGATACCGGTAACATCCGGGAGTGACGAGACCGTGGAAGCAGGTTTCGGATAATATCATCTCTACAAAGTAACACGTGTAAACCATCAAACAGTACAGCCCATACCAAATAAGCTGTGCCCAAAAGCGTCAGTTTCACTCCTGCCAGTGTTTGTTTACTATCTGTGTTGCTATGAACTAACCAAAAGAATGCCGACACAAAAGGGCGCATGCTGCCACCTACTGCACCGGCGCGGAAAGAACTTCATTTGAGAGTTTGGATTTCTAACGTACATGTAAACTAGGATAAAGACTCCTCGTTCATTACTTCGGATCAACCTAGACCAACTTAGTTGCACATGTAAACGCACTGAGAAATTCAACTTAGACCGAGAGACCATTTAAAGGCTTAGGAACCCTTTGCAGTTGCTTGGCTTAGCTGATTGGAGTGTGACATTTTAAGTCTTGAATATTGAACCTTTTAACAATTGTGTAATTGTCTGAGATTTTGAGTTTGGGGTTGTCATAAGTTGAAAACTATAATCAGGGTTTACGCTACATGTATTTTACCGTGGCTAAAAGCCGCCACACCTTCAGAAGGATAAAAATAAATAAATAAATAAATAAAAGTTCAAACAACGTTCCTTAAGAATTAATTTTTGGGATATACATTAAAACAACGTAAATATGAGACATATATGTCTATATTTGTGCATGTATACTAACCATAATCAAAGTGTAAAATATAACGAAACTTTATTTAACTTTGAAAAACCAGTACTGCCGGTTTTTCCCAGTGTGCCAAAGAGCCAAGCGCGCATCACGCACAGTGCGCAGGGCACCGTGTGGCCAGAGGGGCACCAAGCAGTCAGGTTTATGAAGAAAAAAAACAGATTATATTAATTATAGTGTCAGCTGTTGGACAACATGCACACAAACAAAACTGAGGTAATCATCTAACTGGCGTTATTTCACATACAATCCCATCTGTATAATCCAAGCCCATGTGCTTCTCTCCACTCTAGCTGTGAGGTGACCGGAGCCGTGAGCTTCACCTACGGTGGATGGGACGGGCAGGCCCGGTTGTCTCTCCCAGGACCGTGAGCTGCCAAAATGACGTGCTTTTATTTAGAAATGCAGCCACATCGCCAGCCGGTTTAGACGGAGCTTCAGTCCAGAATGCGTTTTGTCTTTTGTTTTCACTCATCAGCCACAGACCGCTCGCTACACTCGCTCACAGCAAGCTGTGCTTTCTACCGTGGTGACTCACTCACACGTCCCCTCTCCTACATTAGTTGGCTAGGCGGTGAATTAAAAGATTAGGGTGTGTTTTTTTCCATTTAGGAGACAAATCCTTCCTCCATAACCAGGTTAGACGTACGGAAGCCCGGAAATGTCAAAATACCTGAAACGTATTTTTTCCTACTGGCTGATAAAAATGTATTGAATAGAACAGAATAGATTATTAATCCCACAGTGGGGACGTTCACTCATTACAGCAGCACATAACGAATAATAACAAGATTACAGGTAAAACTGATTCTAGCCATGTTTGCTTTCATAACTTTAATATCTTCATGCTGATGACCCACATGAACATAATCCTCTGTTTAGTGGATGCAACTAGATCATGAAGTAAGCTTAACATGATAGTTTACTTTTGCTTAGCAAAATACAATAACTGGTAATATTAGTATTAATAACTGACAGACCCTAGATGGAACTTAAATAATTTTACATTAATTATAACTAATGGTTTCTGGGAGACACTTGTGACATGTAGCTGTAACTCTTAACTGCTGATAGACAGATGATGTGAATCCTTGTAAACCACCCCCCGACGGCGAACAGTTGGCACCCAAAGCACCGCATACAACAATAAACACCCAAAACACGCAATCTTATGTTTCAGAACATCGTCTCTGCACCTGTAACTGCCATGCACGGTGGTGGATGGGTAATGGTTTGAGTTAATTTTTGCTGACACAGAACCTGAGCTTCCTACACTCATAGGGTCAAACATAATTGGGTTTGTATCCGGAAATATTCTACAGTCAAATGTTATTGTGTATAAAAATGTTTTTCTCTTTTAGTAATAGAGATAAATACAGTATTTATTGTTTGACATGGTCAAGACATGTAAAACGCTTCTAAAATAACAAAATCAAGGAGAACGGATGAGAAGAACATGTACTCAGATAAATGGTAAATAGCCTGTATTTGATATAGCGCCTTCTAGAGTCCTGGAACCCCTCAAGGCGCTTTACAACACAATCAGTCACTCATCCATTCACACACACATTCACACACTGGTGGGGATGAGCTACGATGTAGCCACAGCTGCCCTGGAGCGCACTGACAGAGGCGAGGCTGCGGAGCACTGGCGCCACCGGTCCCTCCGACCACCACCAGCAGGCAACGTGGGTTGTCTTGCCCAAGGACACAACGACAGCGACAGACTAAGCGGGGCTCGAACCTGCAACCTACGGGGCGATCACTTAACTCCTGTTTGACCTCTTTGTCTCTGTTCTGGCAGAGTTGAACATCAAAGAAATAACACAAGAGGATGGAGACAGAGGTAACCTGCAGGACAGGGATGGTTCTTTGATGGTGGGCTGATAGTGATGAGCCACCAGCCTGTCATATTTAAACAGGTGTTGGCTGGCTTTTGTTTTGGTTCAGGAACAATGACATGAATTATTTACAACATTTTTTAATAAGCTGTGACACCTGTTCACTTTTATATTTGAGAGAAAAACAAAAAAGTAAAAAAAATCTGCATAATTAATATTTTTGTGTAATTCCTGACGTCATCCCGTCTTCCAAACACAAAAGAACTGTGATTTTCCTTTGAGGTTGTAAATCCCTTCACCTTAAATTCTCTTTTTGGTTTTGAACACATCTTGCCTCCATCCACCTCCATCTTTCCACTCATAAAGCAGCATTTGCTTATATTTGCTTCTTGGCATCTCAGCAGAGCTGCATACCAAAGTAATGAGTCATGGGAAATCTTGTGTCCTACACCACAAAGCACTAAACTTGTGTTTTGAAGTGCATAACTAAAATCAGCTGGACATGAGGAGCCATAAAAATGCAATTTCTTCATTTCGTTAAATGCAGAGTTTCAAAGAGGTTTGGCATCTCCTTTCACATCAACACCCCAACAACGAGCATCTCCATCTGTTATTATCGACTCAAAATGGAGATTTGTCAAAGTTTAGTTCATCATTTTGACCCTGAGAATGCTTGGCAAAGTTGACGCTAGTTTGCAGTACGGTTAAGAGGACGGCTTCACCTTGAACGTCCACACTTCAGACCGTGGACGTAATTTTCACTTTAGAAATGGGGGGGGGGACACGAGGGGGGGGGGGGGGGGGGGTATCTTTACAGTATGCTCTAATGGGAAACAGACTTCAACACAAACGGTTGGTTGAACTCTAGGACCAAGCAGAATACAGTGTCATTTTAATACAGCGTAATATTGTTTTTGGATGGTAAAAAGTGCAGGGGTCAAAACTTGACTTTGGAAAAAGTGGGGGGACATGGCCCCCTGTCCCCCCCCCCAAAAAAAATTACGTCCATGCTTCAGACAGGGAAACTACAAAAAGCAATTAAAACTAATGATGGGACTTCTATAGACGGTATACAGTGCTGCTAGACACCTCAGGGCAAGCAGTGAGCTGTTTTTCTTTATTCCATTGACTAATTCTTCATCATTCATAGTAAAGACTTTGCTGATCTTTATCATTACCAACTGATTGCTTCACAAAGTGTGTGAATGTGGCCCCGACACTAAGAGGATAAATCCCATTCTGACAGGAAGTGAAGTTTATCTAATCCTATTCAGCTTGTTAGGTCTCTAATTAGTCAAAAATGTTTTCAGGTGTGTTATGGAGTGCATGGTGTGTTCTCAGGAATGGTCTCAGACAAACCAGAAACGGTCGTCCATGAGATTAAAAAGGACACAGTGGAGGACATAGGCCAAGCTGCCTGTGAAGCAAAACAGCACCATCCCAGATAAGGTTGTTTTCATGACTCTTTCGTGTGGCGTTAGGCCACTGACTTCTTAAATGACTGACTTGCAGCTCACAGCCTGCTTGGCTGAGTTTGAAATGTACACAGAGGCTTTGACTCCTGTTCCTGTGAGCAGACAGCCAAAGGCTACAACCAAAACAACTTACCTTTGCATTGATTGGTGTTCTTATCCAGAATGGCCTTGGTTGACACTATTTTTCCATACCTGTAAAGACAAAGAAACAATGGTTACATATCATAACCCCAAATTCTATGAGTATATGTTTCACCCTTTGGGTAATTCCTCTTCAGTGATCGGCTCATTCAGGGAGGAATTACCCAATTGTGGCCATTAAAGACTGAAGCCCAAAGACATGAATATGTAGACGACCCATTGGGCACTGGAGTACATAGCAGCGTCGCCGCGACACACCTCATCTTCCGCTTCCGGTCGGTAACAAGATGGCGCCTGTGCTTAGCTTAGCCGCAGTCACCGGCCACTTTTTCAAACCTTTCTCCACTAACCTCCTCTTTCCACCTTGCTCCTGTCTGTGATCCTCTTCAGTAGTGTCCCTGCTACCATCTCCTATGATTGCTAGACTCTTTTGTCCTTCCGTTTGTTCACGATCGCCCAAGATGCACCAAGGACATACCTCCCTGTATGTTTATCTGAGTGGCGCACTGGCCTGGAGCCAAACCATGATTCCAACCAGGGCGCCTCCAGCGATGTTTATCCGATCCCGGGAAAAGGTCGGAAGAAAAGAGGTAAATGAGCAGGAATCCAGGTGAGAATAAGACTTCTCTTAAAGCGTGGTTTATCTAGTAAACATCGGCGCGATCTTCTAGCTTCTTGTCCTTTGTTCGGCGACTTGAGCACCACTTCCGCATTCCCGCCAGGCCGCGTTGCGGCGCGGTTTCTCCGTCCAAGTGTTTTAAGGTCAGTTTATCCTCATTCCTCAGTGGTTTCTCCTCCTGTTCCCTCCCTACGTGGTTTTTATAAACACCGTGGATCTAACCCCGCTAATTTACTCCACTAACTCCAGCTGTTTCTGTAGTTTCTGATTCTTCCACCTCACTCAGCATGGCTCTATTAAATACCCGCTCTGTTAACAATAAGTCCTTCCTGCTCAATGATTTAATTCTCTAATGACCTTCTGACTCACAGTGATGCAGGGGACTGTTATGTTCTGTTCCTGCTGGACCTGACTGCAGCCGTTGACACTGATGAACATCACCTGCTACTGGAGAGGCTGAGAGACTGGGTTGGCCTAGCAGTAACTGCTCTGGAGTGGTTCTCCTCTTATCTTTCTGAGCGCTCCTTTTCTGCGGCCGTCTCCAACTTTAGGTCCTCCACCACCTCCCTGACCCATGGTGTCCCACAAGGTTCTGTGCTGGGGCCTCTGCTCTTCCTCCTCTATCTGCTTCCTCTTCAGCACATCCTGAGCTCCTTTAAAGGAATCTCCTACCATCGTTATGCAGATGACATCCAACTGTACATCTCCTTTAAGCCCCATGAGATGTCTAAGCTGCAGCTGTTACACACCTGCTTAGACTCTGTCAAAACCTGGATGGCTGGGAGCTTTCTACAGCTGAATGAAGGTAAGACTGAGATCCTCATCTGTGCCCCAGACAAGCTGGTTCCCAAAGTCAGAGACTCTTGGTCAGCTTGCTTCTCACACCAAACCTTCTGTCAGGAATCTTGGCGTGACCTTTGACCCAGCTCTCACCCTGGATTCTCATGTCAGTTCTCTTGTTCGCTCTTCCTTCTTCCATCTGAGGAACATTGCTAAGCTGAGTCCCATTCTGTCCCGCTCTGAACTTGAGACAGTTATCCACACCTTCATCTTCTCATGCTTAAACTACTGTAACTCTCTTTTCACGTGTCTGAGCAAAACCTCCCTGAACCGTCTACAGGTGGTTCAGAATGCCTGTGCTCGGCTTCTGACCAAGTCCTCCAAACACACCCACATCACCCCGCTTCTCCTTCAGCTTCATTGGCTGCCAGTCAACTTCAGGGTTCATTTCAAGATCCTGGTTCTGGTCTATAGGGCCTTACATGGACAAGCACCATCTTATATTGGTCCTCTTAGTCCCTACACCCCCCAGCAGGTCCCTGAGGTCCAGTGATCAAAGCCTACTGGTTGTGCAGCACCAGGCTAAAGGTCAAAGGTGACAGATCATTTTGCTGCTGTGGCCCCCAGACTCTGGAGCTCTCTCCCCCTGAGTCCGAGATCAGTGGACTCAGTGGTCTCCTTCAAAAAGCAGCTGAAGACTCACTTGTTCAAGCTGGCTTTTGTATGACCTTCTTCACCACTCTCTCTTTAATCAATCAATCAATCAATCAATCAATCAATCAATCAATCAATCAATCAAAGCTTTATAAAGCGCCTTCCGCAACCCTGTCAGGAAGCCCAAAGCGCTGAACATGGTACAGTTGTAGGTAAATATATTGAATAAATCAACAATAAAAGCAATTCAAATTACAAAATACAAATTACAAAATAGAAATGACAAGATAGATGAAACATTCTGGTACAGGACAAATGTGTGAAACACATTTGTCCTGTACAGTCTTTATTCTGCTCTCCCCACCTATTCCACCTTCCTCAGGATCCACTGATTTCCCTCTTTCCTATTCACTCTCTCTCTTTCTCAACACTTTTTAAAATCACAATTGTCTATTTTTTGCTCATTTTAAATATATTTTTAACCATTTTCTAAATTCTTTTTTATATTTTTACATTTGCTGTTTTTGTGAAGCGCCTCGTGATTTTTATCTTGAGAGGTGCTATAGAAATGATATTTTCTTCTTCTTCTTCTGGGTGCCTCACTCTCCAAACCCAACGCAAAAAGAGCAACTCATCCCATTTTTGTACAGTCTACAGTTGCAACAACCAGTGCATTATTGAAAATAGATCACGTGGGATTACTGTTGACTTTTGGCCTACCTGTTGGGATTTTATATTTTTATTTATTGTATTTTATTATATTTATATTTTAATTATAATACCATACCATGTGTCTGATTTTGTGAAAACGCATAATAATATATGTTTTTAGTTGGGTAAACACCTTCCTCAGTAGAAATTAATGCATTGGGGCTGAATAATGACCCATCCAAAATAGCGGGTCACTACTATTCCAGCTCCAATAGGCAGCGCCAGCTATATATAATATATATATATATATATATATATGTATACATATATATGTATATATATATATATATATATATATATATATATATATATATATGTATACATATATATGTATATATATATATATATGTATACACATATATATATATATATATATATGTATACACATATATATATGTATATATATATATATATATATATATATATATAAACATTAGATGGCGAAAGTGGGAGTCGATGGCGTAACTAAACGGCGGCCATCTTACCTCAAACAACAGATTCCTCCGCTCTCAATGGTAGCAGCTGAAAGGTGAGTGATCATCTTAAACAAAAACAACCTTGACTCGATGAAATATTAATGGATTTACAAGCGGTTTGCCTTGGTACAAACCTTAGAACACATGGGCTTGAGACGACATACTTGCACATGTTGAAAGTAACGCTTTTGCTTTTGAAAGTGGCTTAATTGTGAACCATGTGTCCCACCTAGGCTGTCTGCATGTTTTTCAGGTTGAGACCACCATCTATATTTTATGTGGTTCTACAAAACCAATAACAACTTTACAACAGCTCAATAGTTGTGTAAATGGCTGTGTTTGTGAATGTTTTTGTATTTATTAGCTGTCTAACTTGGCTTAGAGATGAGGAGGGATACAGTGGGTGCACTGCTTAGCTAAACAAAGTTGAGTGTTTACCTCAGTGGGAGTCGCTCATTTTATTTTAAATAAATTAATACTAAATTGCCCGTGATTTTTAAGCATCTTGGTTTGTTACACAAAACATATATTGGGACATATTAAAACAGGACATTTCTGGATTTATGTTAGCAGAAATACACTTTTATTAATTGTGAAGCTTGAGGGTCAACATGGCTGACTGTCGTGCAGCCTACAGATGCTCGAATCTCCGCTGTGACTAACTGAGACAACGTGGGATCACCTTTCATCTGTAACTGTTGCAAAGAAAACCTTTACTTGTACATTTTTCAGTCTGTTAATTGTTTTTATGTGAATAAAATAATTTGAAACTGTTGTTCCATTGCTGCTGCTACCTCCTTCTATACATTGTTTATCTGGTTTTACGAATGTTGAAAATCTCCTTCACAAGATCAATCCATTATCCATCTATCTGATTTATTACTGTAATCCATCTTATTTATTAACCTAATCTATCTTTTGATTATTTCCTAACTTTTTCAGAAAGCATTTCCAAAGAGCTTATAATTAATAAATGAAAGTCAATAAATAAGAAAACAAAAGTTAAGAAATTGTGAAAATACAAAATAATTTGCTGGGTGAAATTTTATTGCTGGCGGGACGTTCTGGCTGACAGATGTGATTTGGGTGTTGTTTGTATATTTGTTGGGGTGCACATTTTGTATCTGTGTTCTGTTAATGTGGGCTTTACCTCAAAAGAACCTTGAAATCTCATCTCTAAACAAATCTTATTTCACAAACCAGGAATATATATATATATATATATATATATATATATATATATATATATATATATATATATATATATATAGATATACATATCTATATATATATATATCTCTATATATATATAGATATGTATATATATATATATTTATAGATAGATAGATAGATAGATAGATAGATAGATGATAGATAGATATAGATAGATAGATCTATACAATATAATAATAGGCTGTGTACTTTAAGTTACTGTAGCTTACAATTAAATGTGTTATCTATGAAAGATTAAATGCTTTGTGGAGTGAAATAACATGAATTTTGGGGCCATACCCATCCTATTTCATAGACACATCTCTGGGGTTTATAACAAATCAAACCTTTTTAAAACCGGTTGAAAATTGAGCAAGTTAGAGTTATTTAAAAAGTACATGCACCATACACCCCATGTCAAGAGAGGGGGCATCTGTCTGAGGTAAGATGGTCGCCATGTTACTGCATTGCATCCCATTGGTGAACAGCGGGGATGAGTCATCTAGTGTTTATATACATATCTATGGCGCCAGCCACGTTGCGGCTACATATATGTCTGTGGGTGAAGCCTACATGAAGCAGAACTACATTTACTCAGC